GAACATGGAAGGCTATGAAACTTTCCATCAGCAACATGTTGACCTCAGATCTATGCTGCAATCCAGCGGATATCCAGCCAGCTCTGTCCGGCATTGAATGGATGTTATCAATTGATCCATGTCCATCTGGTGTCGAGCTGACAGTTAACGCCGATCCGGCTGATCCTGAGCCATCATGTAACTCAGGTCTCTCCAGTCTTAAGATGACATCTGACTGATCCTGCTGATCCAGAGCCATCACCTGTCCCATGTCCATCCAACCACAGTGTTGCTCTTAAGTTAATTTCCGTTTCAGAACCATCTAGTGTTGAGGTAACACCTGTACCAAGCCTAACTAGTATGGATCCAGTAGAGTATCAGTAGAATTATCTTGTATTCTCACACAAAAAGCAAGACACTTACTTCTAGACCAAAAATCATTACAGTGAAACAGAAACCAAATTATAAAAAAAAATTTTTGATTAAACTAATAAAGCATTTAAATTTTATTAAAACATTAATAAAATAAACATTAAAACAATTAAAAGCATAGGTTGTGTGTCCTTTTGTCGCATTAACGGTACATCATTCCTCTTTTGTCCTTTTTCCGCCACTTCCACCAAACAGTAAAAAAAAGAAATCAGTTTTTCGCGGGCAAGTTCACTACTAGTTTACTGTAAATGGATTTACAGTAGTGAAGAAATACAGGAGTGACCATATATTTTCCCATAATCCTTTGCTGTTTACAGTAAAATACTGTATTGGTTACAGTGAATATTGTCACTGTGAACATAATTTCTTGATTTCTGTCATGAATATGTTTTAATCTTCTTTCCAAGCTTTCTTTTTGGTCCTGACGCTGCTATTTTTTCAGGTTGAAGTTCAGGAGATGATCATGAACATGAGAATGATGCTGCATACACACACCCAGAGTTTTGACCTACAATGAAAGGATACACAACCCTGACAGTTCAGAGGTTATACAGACAGTCAGAGCATGTATCAGTTCTCTGTTCTCTGTAACTGCTGCTTTCAGTTCTTTGTAGCAAATTGCTTTTGGTCCATCATGAGAACTTGGCTGAGGGATATGCTTTTTGTGGTATTCTTTCTAGGTACGGCACTTTCTATTTATTAATTTCTGTTGTTTGAGAATGTGATGTGAGAGGCAGTGTGAGTTAATAATGTTTTATGCTCTCCACAGAATGCAGAGGACAACACACTGTACGTCAGTCACCAAGCTCTTCTTCAGCTTACACAGGAGAGACTGCGACTCTGAACTGTGAATATAATACGACAGACACAATGCCTGCACTGCTGTGGTACAGGCAAACAAAGAACTTATCTCCAGAATATATTTTAGTAAGACATAATTTTGGAAATGGAAGTAATTCCAAAGACTTCCCCAACAAAAGATTTCAGTCCCAGCTGGATTCTGCTGCAAGAAGAATTTCACTGACTATCCAGAACCTTCATCTGTCTGACTCTTCATTGTACTTCTGTGCTTTGAGGCCCACTGTGAAAACAGGATACTGAGTATTCAAACAAAAACCTGAACTTCACAGCCCACGTAATAGCTTGTTGCCATTCTCACTGTTTGTATGTGATAAACGTTACACAAATTAATGCTGATAAATAAAGCACCAACAGCTACATGAATTAAAAAATTACTTAATAGCTACTTATAGCTAAAACATTTGTATATAATTTCTATAAAACATATGTACATATTATGAAGCGCCAAACAGGAAAGTATTATATAAAATCAGAATATATAAATGTAAATTGTAAATATATAAAAGAAAATTAGAGTATATTTTTATAAATCTGAATATATAAATGCAAATCGTAGTCTGAATATATAGAAGAAAATATTTCTAAATCACAATATATAAATGTAAATCAGAATATAAAGATAAAAATCTTGATATATAAATGTAAATCATGAATATATAGAAGTAAAACTGAATATATATTTATAAGTCTGAATACATAAATATAAATTGCGATATGTAGACAGATTTACTTCTATATATTCATGATTTACATTATATATATTAAGACTTTTATTTTTATATTCTGATTTATAAATATATATTCTGATTTACTTCCAAATATTCAGACTTAAAATTATATATTCTGATTTACATGTATAAATTTAGAATTATAAAAATATATTCTGATTTACATCTATATATTCACAATTTATATTTATATATTCAGATTGTATATAATTATTTCCTGTTCGGCCCGTCATAATATATTCTATAAAACATATACATACATATATATAGTATTTATATATAAAATAGTTAGCATTATATTACAAAAGAATATGAAAACATTTATACATAGCATAAAATAACATTACATACAATATATTATATATATGACATAATTATACATTTTGGTATATCAACGTAATATCTTAAGATTAAATAAATAAAAATAAAATATAGTAATGAAACTAAAATATTTGTTATATAATATTAATACATCGGATTAACATCATTACACAATTTTTCCCTAAGAAAATTTTTAATTAAACTGAAAATAAAATAAAAACTTTGCCATAGATTAAAACTCCTGTCTTAGCAGTATGAAATAAACCTAACCTAAAAGAACAAATATAAAAACCTGAAATCTCTCACATTAAATTTGGATGTTTTGTTTTGCTTTATACACAGCACTTTAAACTATAAAATGTTCTCAAGCTGGTAAACATACAGTACATACAGTGGCTTTTTAAGTCAGCGAGCTATATTGATTTACTAACATTTCGTTTCGACTATTGGAGATCACAAGAACATCAGTTTATGTGTTTGTATCAGCCCCTCGAAGTCTATAGCATCTGGTGACACCTGCCAGAGACATCACTGCACTGTGATCGAGTGTTAAAAAACACTAGCTTCAGTTGTCTGTATGTAGGCTGTTATGGTAGTTCTGCAAAGCTCAGGAGGAATTCATCATTCTAAACAATGGCTTTCTGTTTGCTACTAGTTTTAATGGCATTCATTGGTAAGATTTCAGTTCTATAGATACATTTCCATTCTTTACAGATTAGCAGTGCATATTTGATGCAAACTTTAGTTGCTTTGCAAAGTTACTGTGCTCAATTGAATCAACATTGAACTGACTCAAGCTGAATAATGACAATTGTCTTCTGTAGTGTTGCTTACAGTTGAAACGGAAGTCATTTGATAATTTATTAATTTTAGAACACTGTTATTTTCCTGTTTATTTCTGATAAGCTGCTTTGAAACAATCTGTATTGCATAAGAGCTATACAAATAAATGTGGTTTGATTGGACTCTCTTTAAAATGCGAATTCAACATTCTTCTCAGGTGTGAGTATACAAGACAGCATTACCCCAACATCTCCTGTAGTCCACGCAAAGGTCAATGAAAAAGTGACGATCTCTTGTAAATACAAGTACACTGTGTCAATGAATAATCTACAGTGGTATCGACATTATCTTGACTCTATGCCGGAATTTCTTGTTCTAATCATGGAGTCGGGACAAAATCAAACGGCTACACCTCCTCATCCTCGGCTGACAGCTTCAGTTAATAAAGATAACAAGACGGTGAATCTGGAAATCGTTCCTGCAGATGTGAAGGACTCTGCTGCGTATTACTGCGCACTGCAGCCCACAGTGGCAGGAAATGCATGAACACCATACAAAAACCTACTCAGCGCTAAACAGAACAAAATGGTTTAGATCAACCTATGAGACCAGAGAGTGTGCACAAATGCCACAAGGGGGCAGCCCTTTTTATGATGCTTAACATCATAAGCATGTGTACAAAGTTGACATGTGATAAGCAATAGGATGTGACTTTAAAAGATTGTGAACAGTATACACAGCTGATCAGTAAAGTCAGGATGAAGAGATCAGTAGTACTAATTCTAGTTCTAATAGCTGCATCAGGTATTTAATGTAAAATTTATATGAATTTCTAGGAATATTAATGTATAATTTCAAAACTTACATTTATATTTATCTTTTTTCACATACCACTTTTTACTTCCTTTACAGTTGCTCTCGGTGATCGCATTGAATCAAATCAAGCTGTTATTATTGAAGAAGAAACCAACCGGGTGACATTGAGTTGCTCATATGAAACAAGCAGTGAAGCCATTGATCTTTACTGGTACAGACAGTATCCTAACAGTGAGCCACAGTATATACTGTGGAAAGGTGCACGGTCAAGAGATGGCAGGAGTCATATACCAGATCCTCATTTTGAATCTTCAACAACCAGAACATCCACTGAACTGATTATTAAAGCAGCCACTCTGAAAGATTCAGCTCTCTATTACTGTGCTCTTTGGAAAGACCCAGTGATACAAAGTTTCTGAGACGCTTTACAAAAACACACCTACTTTGAACTCAAAAACATCAAAGTTTAGCCAAACCAAAATGTATTATCTGCCAAAACCATTACTGTATGTGGGAACACCTGCAACTGATACAGTAGGCAAAACCAAGAGATTAATAGATTCAATAAAGCAGCAGTTTTACTGCGAATACAAAAGTGTTGAAATGCAGAACATGTACATATACAGAATGATATTGCTCTAGATTACTGACCTAAATCTTAAATATCCATGTAAAATCCGTGTAATTTCTCAGAAAGATATATAACAAATCCAAACCATTAGACAAATTGTTAAAACCACAATTAAACAGGTATGAAACTAATTCAAAGATTTATAGTCTGTGACCGAGTTTAATCACTATGTGTCTAGATGTATTCTGTTTTGGAGATGAATTTGGGTTTTGAGTTAAGTCTGATTCAGCTTTATAAAAAACTAAAATATCCAGCTTGAATTTCTTATGTTAACATGTTTGTTCTGCAAATAATTTAGAGGCTTTTTTTTTTGAAAACTGGACCCACAACTCTAGACCTAAAACGTGTGTTTGGGGTCAGTAGGAGGGGCTTTAGTGTTTTGACACCATCTAGGCCATCCTGAGGATGTGGTTTTGAAATAGATTAGCTACAAGCTGAGCTGTCAGTCAGAACATCGGCCTGAACAATGTTGCTCTGTTTACTTAGCTTTCTATCTACATTTGGAGGTGAGAAGCTCAATTTCAGTTTAATTTTAATACCTTTAATCTTATAACCACAAACATTTCAGATTTTTCTTCATTAGAATTGTACATTAAATGCTCCTGAGGTCAGGTTCAGGTCAACCAAAATACAACACTGTAATAAACCTATACTTACGAATACTCATTTCTCTTTTTCAGCTGGCCGCTGTGGAGATGTCATCACTCCTGTCCAAACTGAGGTGTATGGGAAGAGTGGGGATAAAATAACACTGTCTTGCAACTACTCCACAGCCCTTTCTTTGTATTGGTATCGTCATTATCCAAGATCAACTCTAGGTTTCCTTCTTCTGATACTACAAAACAGCGGGGAGTCTGAAACCATGCAGCCTGGAATGTCCGTGAAATTAAATGAAAAGAAAACCTCTGTGGATCTGGAGATCTCCTCTGCGAAAGTAACAGACTCGGCAGTTTACTACTGTGCGTTGAAGCCCACAGTGTGAGGAAACCCAGCAGCGCTGTACAAAAACCTAAATCTGTCTTAACAAAGCATATTTAAGTACTGAAAAATATACTAATACCATAGAAACACTGCATCACTGCACTACATATGTTTCACATCTATTCTGAATCACACAGTAATTATACTGTTCAGGAAATTATTATTATTATTATTATTTTAAAATCTATTTATTATTTAGTGATTATCACCAATCAAAGTGAATTAATTGCCATTATTTTATTAGATTAAAATGAGGTAAAGAATCATTACAGAAGACTGTTTATTATCAAGAGAGAGCAAAATGATGTTCTTAAAACTAATGTTTCACTGTTTATTTCTCTCTATGTGAAAAGGGTAAGTAAAGGTTAAAGGGTATTTAAATTTGACAATGAAATTCATATACATAAGCAGAGATTTCAACAACCTAATGGCTTTTTTAACTATTTTAAGTTAGTGGCTAATTCGTATGCATTCGTGATGAATTCGTATGTATCTTATTTCTCAATCTCATTCGCATCAGTGACTATTAAATGTAGCAGTGGGGCAAAGGAAGGGCTTTCATGCTTACGTTTTTCTAAAAATGACACATTTTCATACAATTCACATCATATGAATTCATAAGAAATCACCACCTTGTAAAATTGCTAGGTTTTTCTGTGAGATCAGGTTGGAGATTTTATTCATAATCCATCAATTTCAGACATACCAGCAAACATTTAAAAAATGTTGATACATGCAAATAATATCTATATCCTCACTGCAGAATTAAGTCTCCAATGACTTCATTTTTAGGGCATAGCTCTTTAGAACTAGTCTGAATAGGTGAAGACAAATTTTTGCAAGTGCATTTATTATTATTTTTTTTTTTAACATTGTTCTTCCCTAATTCTTGTTTGTTTACACAAAATATATTGCAATATATTGCATGTCTCTTAATTATATAGGCTACAGTGTGAATATTTTTAGTGCTTAGTCACTAAAAGGTTTACTCTCATGCCATGTCATGTCAAAGCCATATTGACCATAGTGTCTGTGCATCAACTCATGTCATATATAAATAAGAACTGCAACAGTAAAATCATGAGTGTCGATGTTTTTTTGTTTTTTTTCCTCACAGTGGGTACAGCAATGTGTCAAGAGGTGGAGCTCTAAGATTAGTTTGACTAGGCTTATTTTCTAATGTGGAATCACACTGTCACTCTGTCAGAGCATCAACCAACATGTGCCTTCCTGTCTTTCTCATTTTGGTTCTTCATACAGGTGAGTTTTGATTCATTTCTCAGAATTTATGACTTCAATTAATGAAGAGATTGTGATACTTTTATTTTACGGTCTGATTTTATGTCTTCTCCTTGTTTATTTCCTTTATTTATTTTTGATTCTCATAGGTAACATCCTGACAAACATGATAACGTCGCATGACTCACAAAAACAAGTTTTAGAAGGTAAAAATGTAACACTCACATGTAACTACAGTGGAGCACCTGATAATCTCCACTGGTACCGTCAATATCCCAGATCTACACCAAAGTTCCTCCTCTACATCTATGAAAGTGGGCTGATGAGTGACAACATACCACAGCGCTTAACACCAAGAATTAATAAAAACACAAAACGAGTAGATCTGGAGATCTCTTCTGCTGCAGTGACAGACTCTGCTGTGTACTACTGCGCTCTGAGGCCCACAGTCACAGGAAACAAAGCTACGCTGTACGAAAACATGAAGCAGAGAGAAATGTATTTAACAAATGGAGCACTGAGAATATACACTAAGATATATGTTTCTCAACTTGTTTTATACATCACAATTTTATTTATATATACACTAATCATTGAATCAGTTCAGATGATTTTTTTGTGTGTTGCTGTGCTAATTTCATTGTGCAAATAAAAGTAAAAAGTTGTTAAGATGCATCTCCTCATCTTACTAAGCTTAGGTTGTCACTGTGCTTTGATGTTCAAGAATAACTCATTTCTAGCACAGTTCTAGTTTAAACTGATATTCATCTCTGTCTGTATTGGTGTTGCCTTTGAAGTGCAGATGAATCACCACACCTGCTATAGGTAACAGTCAAATTAAAACATAATGAGTTTGTGGTAACACCTGCAGCTGTCTGAAACTGAAATAGACATGTACGTTAAAGCTATACATCCACTTTTTGAGAAATGGCTACACATGCACTTCAAAAATGAAACATTAATAAAATCAACTGGGAAAAAAAGAGCACTACTGTAGAAAACAAATCTATACAGAATATTTTAAGAAGTACATCTAACTGATACGACACAAATAAACTTCCAAATTGGAAATTCAGCAATGATTTTGTGTAATGAATGAATGAATGTAATCACACCCAGGTAAAATCATGCATTCTTTTCTCATTCTTTCTCTGCTATTCATTAATTTTGGCCAAATTCACAGAAACATTTAAACCTCAGATAATAAGATGTGTGCACTGTTTAAAAAAAAGGTAATTATGGACATTATCCATATTAATGGCCATTTCCATTAATGCAAAAACACAATGCAGTGCAGTGCAAAATACAGGTAAAACACCTGTTTAAAAAATCAATACGGAAAATTCCTTAATTTTAATATACAGTACGCTGTGCCTTCTTTTTACAGATTTTTTTAGATTGTGGGTGGAGCTTTGAGAGAGACTTTCATTTCTCAATTATGAGCTTCATTTTGTTTTTACAGTGCAATCATGATGTTCCTGTGCATTCTGATTCTGCTGTCAATAATACAGGGTAAGTAAAAGTTTATATATATATATATATAGGTTATATCACCTGTTTTTATAATTGTCTGTCTGTTTATATGATAATTCAACAGCATTTATTCATACTTTGTCATACTTTACCATTTTCATTCTTTTTATTAATAAGTTCTATACACACATTTTACAGATGAATGCTTTGCAAAGACAGTAACACCACTGCAGGACAGAACACAAGTTACTGAGGGTAAGCCAGTCAATCTGACATGCACATATGATGGCAGTGTACAGAGTTTACTTTGGTATCGACAATATCCTGGATCTGGACTGGAATTTCTGCTCCTTGTCGTTGAGTCATCCACGAAGTCTGTAGTATATGCAGATCCCCCTATTCCTAGACTGGATGGTGAAATGAGTATGAAAGACAAGCGAGTGGATCTGATCATCTCCTCTGCTGAAGTGACAGACTCTGCTCTGTACTACTGTGCCCTGGTGCCCACAGTGAGAGAAAACACAACACCGCTGTACAAAAACCTCCAACCATACTCCATGTGTAATACACAAATGGTGTTGAAATTAAATCACTATTTCAAATAATTTCTTAGTTTTTCTGAGTAAACTCCATAGCCCTGGTTTATACTAGTTAACCACTTTTACCTCTACATATTACTGTTTTAGTGCAGAAATGCACAGCTGTAATCATAAAACCATAAGTTAGCTCCAAAAAAGAACATAATTTAAGAAAGAACAATGTAAGTGTTTAATGCATATAAATGCATATACATACAGTAAGTTCAGCTGAATCAGTTTAATGCTGTTAAACTGAATGTACAAATCAAACTGCTGAAATATCCACGACAATCAACTGCATGTGAAAGCAGCTATCTATCACTCACACCCTATGACTAAAATATAAAATGAACAAAACATTAAATAAACTTCATAAACTTGCTTTAAATAAACCCATGACAACCACAAGGCGGCACCTGTTCTAGTTCTGAGTGTTAACATACACTAAGTTGTATGCACCGTAATGTGATGTGATATTTGATACTAACTAGAGCCAGATGATTTTCTTCTTCCTTAAGAGGCAAAAGTTCAAATATTCACAATTATCCTTTATGGAATATGATTCCATTTGATGACTCTAGGCCAATGTATGGATATAGATACTTGTGATGTGACGGCTAAAATGATCCACAAGAGGGCAGTCTTCAACCAAAAATTTATAGAAACTGAACCATTTCTTCAAGGGCACATAAGGGGAGGAGATCCAAGGCAATTATTTCAGGCATGCTGAGGTTTTAGACATAGTTAAACATAGTTGCTCATTTGCTCCTTGTCAGTAATGCTTTTCTTGTTTTGTCTGTGGCTCATCTCCCTCTTAACAGGTAAGAGATACAAGCAATTAATCAAATAAACATTACTAAGAACACAATAATATAAAGTACTTTACTTCTGTAGTTCTGTTCATCTCCATTCATTATTCCCATCTATCTTTCTCTGTTTCTCCTAGGTGATGCCTCTAGCGAGGGAATAGCACCAGTCTCTCCTAATGAATTAGTCTCAGAAGGGAACACAATCACCCTGTCCTGCAATTACAATGGATCAGCTGCTACAGATGCTCTCCACTGGTATCGTCAGTACCCGAGATCCAGACCAGACTTCCTGTTTCTAGTTAATGAAGCTGCATTTAAGCAACCGGCTGATCCTCCAATTCCTGGAATATCTGCTAGATTAAATGAGGAGAAAAATCGTGTGGATCTGGAGATCACTGGCACTGCATTAACTGATTCTGCTCTGTACTACTGTGCCCTGCAGCCCACAGTGACAGGAAACACACATACACTGTACAAAAATGAAACCCATTAAAATAGAATTCAGCGTCTGTGCTCAGTGGATGATTATGCATGTTTATATTTTAACATTTTGATCCAGCATTGGGAGCCAATGAGTTTCAATTGCCTTATGATTGTCTTCTTAGCAACAACTGACCTTGTGTTCAAGAAAACAGAATACTGAAATACATTTAACCAGAATTTAAGGATATGCATTTAGTAAGCCACTCTAATAGTTCTTTCCAGTCTACATTTTGACACATTTTAGTCCTAATTTTGTCAGCGCATCGAGTGCATTATTATTATGTTATGCTGCACAATGATGAAAGTTTTCTGACTTTTCTCATTACTGCATTTCAGAGATTGTCCTGGAGTTTAAATACAAAAATATTGATAAATCATTCCTTATTAAAGCATGAACTAATCTGTGATATAATCACTATTACCCACTCAAGTTTGTTGTCAAAAAGTTGCCATTTTGATATGATGCCAGATGTGATGATTATGAATATACCAGACAGTACCTTTTCACATATGAAATACTACATATTAGTAGTCAAAATGAATTTTCAAATGTACACTCATGAAGAAAAAAAAAAGGTACAAAAGTCCGTACTGAGGCAGTATCCTTTTAAAAGTTCTATGATGTATAATTTAGGCACTAATATGTACCCACACGTCCTGAGTTTTGCTGAGGTATTAGCATATTTTGTTGACCCTGGGAAAAAAAATGTAGTCTTGACCATATCCCTACACCTAAATTTAACCTTAACCATGAGTAATCCCTAAAATCAGAGGAAATTATAGATGAATGACACTGATGTACATGCACCGAACACTGATTGTAAGCCTAAACTTCACAAAAACTATAAACTGGTTCTTCAAATCTGATTGGTTAATCACAATGTTGTTCCAGCGTCAACAAAGATGTTGATCCAGGAACATGTCGCACTTGGTAAAATCAGGTTCTGCAAAAACAGTGATCGATTTTTTGGGGGCATTCTTTGATGAATATAAAGTTCAATAGAACAGCATTTACCTATTTGAAATAGAAATCTTTTGAAGCATTATAAAAGTTTTTCTGTCACTTAACTTTAATGCATTCTTGCTGTGAAACTATAAACTGGTTCTTCAAATCTGATTGGTTAATCACAATGTTGTTCCAGCGTCAACAAAGATGTTGATCCAGGAACATGTCGCACTTGGTAAAATCAGGTTCTGCAATATGTACCTTCAAGATACTATGCACACTTTTTTCTGAGAGTTTATCACATTTTATGTAATCATAAGCACACACAGATAATGTGGGTGGAGCTTCAAGATATTCATCTCTTATTTGACTTCAGTCTGTTCTTTAGCAATGCAAAAATGGCTTCTCTTTTATACCTACTTGTAATTTTAGCCATACAGGGTGAGTAGGTTTAATTAATTGTTTTACTTTAGATCTATAAGATATATTTACCAAAAATACTATTTATGTAAATACATGATAATGTAATTTACAATAACTTGCAATTTACATAACTTCATACTGAACATTGTGTGTATTTTTCCTGATGTTTTTCATGCTCTATTTGCAGGTAAATCTTTTGCCCAGTCAATAGCACCATTGCAGACCACAGAACACGCTACTGAGAGAGAAACAGTTATTCTCTCATACAAATATGATAGCCAAGCACGTAGTTTACATTGGTATCGACAGTATCCTGGATCCAGACCTGAATTTCTGCTTCTTGTTTATGAATCAAACAGTTTACTACATGCAGAACCCCCTTTCCCAAGAATGAATGCCAGTGTGAATAAGGTGGAGAAGCAGGTCCATCTGGAGATCTCCTCTGCTGCAGTCACAGATTCTGCTCTGTACTACTGTGCTCTGGAGTCCACAGTGACAGGAAACACAAGAACACTGTACAAAAACCTCTATGGGAAGTCTTTATTATGTAATGTTAAATATCCTCTATGACAATAATAGAATTAAAATAATGTCCTTGAAACTTTCTAAAAGCACTGGTTTACCTTCACTGTGATCATATGCTTAAATAAATATTAAATATAGATTTTGGTTCATTTTACTCATTGTATATTTTATGCATTACAATATATTGTATTTTTATGTATTTATGTATTGCATTTTTATCTAATATTTCTGTTTTTTTATGAAAGAAAGAAAAAGATTATTTTAAAAAAAAATTTCATTAAAAAAAACCTTTATACATAAATTTGCAAAACTTGGCATTTTCGGAAGAATTGAATTCAATTATACAATTGTAGCCTATTTTTTTCCCCATTCTCATATCGTTAAAAAAAAAACAATATTTCAAACTAAATCTAATACACACATAACGTGATATCTCTGAATGTTTTCATTTATACATTGCAAGCTATGGGTGGAGCTTTTGGGTGGATCTCATAAAAATTCACATCTGTGTGCAGTTTTCATTCGCTGTTTGTGGTGCAAAGATGATGCTTCTGTGCTGTCTGCTTGTGTTTTCAACAACAGAATGTAAGTGATAAACAGTAGGCCTACTATATAGCTTTGTTTAAAGATAGAATCGTAATTAATTGTATTAACAAGCTTTTATGCCAGTTCATAGCAAATAATTAAACATTATTTCATAATTTGCATTGCTAAGCAATTTACATTTTGTGAACGTTTTCATCTTGTTATTCTTTCTAACTGAAAGCTTCCTATTCTATGCAGATACATTTGCACAGTCAATAAGACCACTGCAGAATGACATTCATATCACTGAAAAGCAGCCGGTCATGCTGTCATGCAAATATGAGGGAAGTGCAAACAGTCTACACTGGTATCGCCAGTATCCTGGATCCAAACCTGAATTTGTGCTCCTTGTCATGGAGGCATCCACTAAACATGTAACATATGCAGATCCCCGTATCCCTGGAATGGATGGAAAAATGAGCATGAAAGATAAGCAAGTGGATCTGGAGATCTCCTCTGCTGAAGTATCAGACTCTGCTCTGTATTACTGCACCCTGCAGCCCACAGTGACAGGAAACACATCAACACTGCACAAAAACCTCTATAAAGTAAAAAAAAAAAACAGAATCTCCATTCTTTTGTCATAGCCTCATGTTTACTGCTTGCAGATTAATCAAGTAATCGAAATTCAAAGAAAATGCTTAAGATATTTCACAAATTTATTTATGAATTAAAATAATTTTTTAAAAATAGCTATAAAGAATGTAAAAAATATAGGATATTTCAACACAAATATGATCAAATTAAATTTGAAAATGAATAGGCATGAGTTTCTGAGCAAGATTTCAGGATACAATTCATATGATCGTTTAAGGGAAAGATAAAATCTTATGTACTGTGACGGATCACCATTTTCTCTAAGTCTTTTGCCAATTTAAATCACCCTTGTTGACCTCACTAGTTTATTTTAAATGGAACTGTAGTGTAGCAAATTAAATTTTAAAGTACAAATATTCAATGTCTCCCAATTAATATGGTCATAAACATGGCATGCATTATAATTCTATATTAAATAATTTTCAACAGAGTATAGCATGTCTCATCACTATATTTGTCATATTCCCAAGTATTCCATGTCAACTACCCTTTTCTGTATTTTACATCAATGATGCTTTTCATAATAAAAAAAAAGATCCTTTAATTTCTAAAGGTTCTGTTGCAATAACCGAGGACAAAATTGTGGATTTGGTGGTTCAGTGAAGTAACCCTATAACTTTATTTTTTATAAACTGGCTGCCCATATTTTAAAACCTCAAGATAATCAAAAAGGCTGACAAAATATGCTGTGTTATGAATGATAACCTTGCTCTTCCACAGCGGATTGATTTAAATTCATTATTGCAGCCACATGGTGGCATTATTTCCAGTCTTATGTCTCATAAGACATTGTACAGTCATGGTCAAAAGTTTTGGCAGTGACATAAATTTTGTGTTTTGCAAAGTTTGCTGCTTCAGTATTTGTAGATTATTTTTCCACATGTTTCTATGGTATACTGAAAAACAATGATAAGCATATAAGTTTTAAAGGCTTTTATTGGCAAAAAAAGTCAATATTTACAGTGTTGAACCTTGTTCTTCATAACCTCTGCAATTCGCTCT